AAAAAAAAAAAAAAAAAAAAAAAAAAAAAAAAAAAAAAGCCCAGATTGTCAGGACTCAACTCTCCCGGCACGCCTGCTCCCAACTGAGACACGACGCCGAGAGGACGGGAGAAAGGAAAGTGTTACCAAAGAGGTGGCACATTGCAGGATGCGGGTGAGGTTGTGCAATTCTCCGCCACCCCATGGAGCACTGCCAGATCATTTGTAAGCCTAGATGTCTGCACCACAGCACTGGGGATATCCTGTACACCTACAGAGCGGGTAGGGATGGAGCCCGGAGCATAATTACACTTTTGCATAACTCCAGGGCAAGGCCCTCAGCTACGAGAGCGCTTTGGCAGGAGTGGGATGGGAACAAAGGCATAATCCCAAGGGATTGTACTGACACAGCAGGGCAATGGGAGATGAATTTCTGTTTGAAATCACATAGTTAAGGACAGTAAAACCTCCTGCAAAACCTCCTGTATCAGTGGTATTATCTAAGTAGAAGGCGCTTTGTCTAACCAGACCAATGCACCATCCTAGCAGGGTGGTTTTGCTATTTCCAAGAGATCAGAGCAGCAATTAAAGCAGCAAACTTTTCAGGCAGGGCCTTAATTAAGCAAGGGTATGTGCTCACTGAATCAAGGCCCTCAGGTGTTTTCCAGTCATCCTTTTCTGCCAAAGGATGAAATTACATGCAAATCTGCTGCTTTGTCACAACGCTGTAGGGTCACCCTCAGCTCGAAATAAGTCTCACCTCTTACAGTTTGTCTCAAGCAACACCAGGGCTTACAGTGGTCAGAAGAAGAGCTGACTGCTGCTGCTGTCAGGGGAGGTGTGCTCCTTTAAGCCCATACAAATTGTAAAAATCAGATAAAATTTTAAAATCTTCCAGAGCCAGTGGGGTACTGGGAAGCAGTTTCCAGAATTATTTGTAACTCGACTTAAGAAAACAGACCAGATTGCAGATCGACTCAGCTCCCACTACTGTTTTCACTTCCCTTTGAGCTTTTATATTTTGCAGTTACTTGCAACAACCAGGTTTTAGACCATTTTTCTCGCACCATCTGGGGATTTGAGCCAAATTCAGCTGGATGCAGAGAACAACAGCTGGTCTTGGATGAGGAGGATATTGTCGTCATCTATCAGAATTTGGGATGACATCGCTGGAGCACACGCAGTTGCTGCTGTAGTGTGTGGGGAAATCTTGAGGAGTTCCCACTTGGTCACAAAACCTGCTGGACCTGGGAGGAGGGCATGGGGACCCCCAGAGCTTTCAGTCCTCTCCTTCAAAGCCCCTCTGAACTGAGACTGGCTAAAACAACAACTCCACTTACAAACTGATCTCACCACAATGAGCTTCCTATTCCGAGCCAACTCCCATCTTTGCTTTCAGCAGCTCCCTGGCTCAATAGGAATAAGCGACTTGTTCAAATCCAGCAGCCAACAACCTGGGAAATTTATCTCTGCGTTGTGCCTGCATCCACTGCATTTGGGCAACACATGGAGATTTACCAGTTTCACTTCTGCAGCCAGTTTCTCCACTACTTTTTGTTTCTGGTTCTCAGCATGAGCCTCACAACACAGATAAATTCACTGTGTTAATCTGGTTCCAGCTGAGCTCTTTTAAAGTAAGTCTATTGAAAATAGAAAATCCCTTTCTATTACCATTACAGCTAGGAATACTTTTTTTTTTTTTTTAAAAAAAAAAAAAAACAAAAAACAACAAACCAACACATGAATAGGAGATATTGGAGCAAAACAAAACAGAGCTATTAAAACATTAAGAAACTTTCATTTTAGACAACAAAATTTTAGAAGCAACCTATTTTTTTCTGTGTTTTTTGACAAAGTATCTAAAGTGCTGAAAAGGACCAGCAGCTCTGACTAAATGCAAGACTGAGGCCTGATGCTACGTACAGATCCCCACGTCTGGCGTGAGGGCAGAGAGCAGCAGTGTTTACCGGGTGCCGGGGAAGGGGGGGAAGCCTGACAGATGGCTGCTGTGGCACAGCTCCTGCACCCCCTCTGGGCTTGCAAATGGCTGCTTTCATACACGGGCTGTAAACAATCCTTGAAAGCCCAAGATCATGTGCCGAGGGTCATCCGGCCAAGCGGAGACAGCCAAGGAAGCAGCTCTGCTTCAGAGAACTGCCTCACTCCATCTCTCCACATAACTGTGCTGGCCATGCTCCCCCCGGGCCCTCTCCTCTCCTCCCCACCGGATCCTACCTGCCCACTCCCTGTCCCCGATGATGATTCTGTCACAGAGCTCACACACGCGATGACTCCGTTTGTTCTCATTTACATCGTACTTCATCTTCACGGGCTCTGCTGAGGGCTCACGTCCCTGTAGATTAAATAATGTCTCGAGTTGGTGTCTACTACAAAAATTTGCTGCCTGGGTTCACTGCGGTAGAGTTTGGGATGTGAACTTGCCATACCCAGACACTAAGGTTAGCAGGACAGACGCTGCAGTTTTACCATGAAGATGAGCAGAGCACTGTGCATTGGGAGAAATATTCCGCTTAGAAAACAACCCTCTGCCACTGCAAGGAAAGCCCAAGGCTGGACAGGTACACAGGCAGCCCTGCTCATGGGAGAGACTAAGTGTGAAGTTATGGGGCCTGGAGACTATCAAGAAGTTGGCTTCTCAGCCACAGCTCACATGTTAACTCCAGTTACCCAGTACCTGGATGAAGCTCTCCACAATCTCCAGAGCAGGTTTCAGCACATCTTCCTCCCACCGCAAGAGATCAGACACCTCCAAGCCATAGACTGGTGGCACGTTGGGACCGGGACCTACGGAGACACAGAAAGGCAAGTCACAGCCAGAATCCCGCCAGCACCCACGGGGGTACGCTGTGAGCTGGGGGGGGATCTGCTCTTTCCTCTCTAGCTGCATTCAGAGCAAGCAGCACCAGCCTTCCCAGAACCAAAATTACCAAAGACTCAGGGGAGTTGAGCCAAAATTACCAAAGATTCAGCTCAGGTGGGACCACTCTTGCAAACAGCAAGAACACCCAAGACCTCAAGCAAGCATCTCCATGGTTGTCTGCCTTCGGGACAGCGTTATGAAATCCAAGCACGCCGACAGCCCACCAGAACAGCAAACACTTCATCATGGCTGCGGTCCACAGGAGGCTGCAGAAGATCAAAAGCTACATCCAGGCACAAAGCCATCACACAAAGCTTACAGGGAGATGCAGGCACGAGGTCTGAGTGTGGGTGCTGGTTCCCATTCAGAGCTGTAATTCCTTGTGTGGCTGCCGGGGCCAACGCTCCTGGCTCACAGTAGCCGGCCAAGGCCGGAGATACTTTACTAATGCCTCAACCTGACAAGGCAGAGTTTCAAAGCCACCCCTTCGGCCTCAACCAGCCCAGCACAAGGGCATGGAGGGGGGTTGCTGCAGCCCAACTGGGGCGAGATAGCTGCAATCAGAGAGCGCCTGCTCCCTGCGGCGACGTCGCCGCCGTGCCGCGGCTCACCTGCCCGCAGGCACCGGGCACACGGCCCCGCTCGGACAAAGCCATCAAAGGCTGCCGTGTGCCAGCCTCCGGCAGGTGCTGCTTTTTATTGCCTTAACCACAAACAAGCTCCCGACTGGGCTGATCTGAAGCACACCTGCCACCAGAAAGGTGAGACACAGCCACCAAGCACATGGCTCCAGGAAAGCTCTTGCACCTCGTTCAAAGCCCGTCTTTTGATTCGAGTTTCTCCCTGCCTTTTGTTTTAATATATTTTATTGTTGTTTTGCCCCTACGAAGCACCTTTCAACAAGTGCCCGGCTCCCAGCTGCTGCTACTGGCCCTGCTCCAAAGCTGGGGCTGGGATGGGGAAGTCCTGCTGGCTCCCAGCCACCGCGGTGAGTGCGGCCCAGGCTACGAGCAGCCCGTGGGCTCCTGTTCCTAATCTGGAGGGCAGCTGCCAACTGGGCTTTTCATCCTGTGCTGGGATCATGTGGGGGTGTGTGGGGAGAGGGACCATGCTGGGTACCCCTTCCCCGAGCCCCTCAGGAGCCGTTGGTAGGACAGGCTGCAGGGACACTGTGACCACCATCATCTACTGCCGCCCGGCACGGAGCGGGGCCTTTGCTCGCCCTGTTCCGTTGGGGTATTAGCCATCCAGATGGCCAGTTTCTGTTGGGAGGGAAAGATCTGCCCTTGACAGGCAGCGAGGGGTCCAGAGGGAGCAGCGAGAAGGAGCTGGGGTCCTGTGTGCCTGGGCAGAGAGGCTGCGGGCAAAATAAACATGGACAGTGCCAGGTGGGCTGCCTCAGGAGGGCCAAGCAGCTGCTCTGCAACCCAAAAATGTGGGAAGGAATCGAGGCAGAGCCCCATGGCTGGACTGGGACACTCAGTGCCTTCCTGTAGGGATCTGGCTGGCAGCAGACACCTGCGGAGCCAGGGCAGCCCAGGCCAGCAGGAAGGATCCAGGCAGGATTGTCTGATCTCTGCCAGACTCACATCCCCCCCATCACCACAGCCCCAGAACAGAGGAGCCACCACTCTCCTCTCTCGAGCTGGGAGCAGAAGATGTGCTGAGGAGGGATGAGACGAGATGCAAGAGCAGGGATGGCAAGGCAGGGCAGGAAGAGAGGACTTACGACTCAGGAAGCGGTTTCGGACCCATTTGTTCTGTCTCCGGGCATATCTCTTGGTCACCTGTTTCAGGGCCTGGATCCCTTTGAAACAGAAGGAGTGAAAAATAAAAGCTTTGTTTTTATTTTAGGAAGTAGGACAAGCTGTTCAGGGGCTGCACTGCTCTCGTAACGCCTAACTGAATACTTGTCTGCACAAACAGAGTCCAGGACTCCTTGTCCTACCCACGGTGGGCCCAGAGGATGGTTTATCACTGTACAACCTTTCAATATTTAGTAGGAGACTTATCATATCCCTGTCCCTCCATAACTGTCTCCTGAGCAGACACAACAAGCCCCTTCTGCACCAGACTTGTTTTTAAGCCTTTTATCATTTATGTGGCCTCCTCAGCCCCCATCTCCACCTCACACTGAACCCTCCTCGATGCAGACTGACTTTGCCCAGGACCTCCACTGTGCTGAGAAGCAGAGCAGCTCTCCCCTCTAACAACATCGTATCCGAGCAGACACTCCAGGACAACACGTGCCATCAAAGAGCACATCCCTGCTGACTCATCTGTGATCTGCCAGATCCCCAGATCCCTTCCCACCACCTTGCTGCCGAACCAGATGTCAAGTTCTGCTTTATCCCTTCCTTCTAGCCTTGTTCTCCACAGCACTCACACCCCAGGTGGGGTCCCATCACCCAGGTCACCAGTGGACCAGCTCCAGATCCCAAATTATGTTGTGCCTGGTACATCTTGCAAAGAGGCCTGGGGGAAAGGAGGGAGGAATCGCTCTGGGTGTGCCCAGAGATGCTCTCCAAGTACTGAAAAAGGAGTTCCTGCGCCTCTGGGCTGGCAGAAGAGGAAAAGGCACAGAGAAAGGTGGAGCTCAACCCCAACAAGACCTGCCCTGGATTTGAGCTTGGTTCAGAGCATCAAGAAGTGTCACCTGGAGCTGTGTTGGGGCTGAGGAACATATGGCACGCAGGGTGTTCCTCCCACCTTTTTGCAGCAACAGGGCACTGGTTTCAGGTGAGCAATTCCCCTCACTGATGAGGTACTCATGGAACTCCTTGAAGCCAATGGACTGGAAGATGCCATGCTGGTAATCCTGCCTGGAGAGTAAGAGAAGAGACAGGGCTCAAGGCTGTCTCCTTCAGTACAGTGGGAGCCCTCAACCCACCCCATAATAGCTGAGGTCTCTTCGTCTCATCACAGAGGACCCCCCGGAGTGACAAAAGCCCATGGCCTCAGGGGACGAGCCAAGCCAGGCACACACAGGGACACAGACTGGTGGCACCAGTGCCAGCCCATGTCACTTTTGCTGTGTGAACACTCCGACAGCATCAGGTAATTTTTACTGAGGGGAAATGGTCGCCACTTGGCAGGTACGGTCCAGACAAAATTAATTAAATGCTGAGACCTACAGGGACTCTGCTGGAGGATCTGGCTGGTTCAGAGCTCTCTGATGATGGTGCCCACACAGAGGCGGGCACCCAGCCCGTCTGCGGGCCCAGGCGCTGCCATGAGAGGGCTGGGAGCAGAGATACGTTTGAGATGCTGCAGGGAGAGTCGGTCCAGGCCCTGCATGGAGCAGAAAGGGAGCTGGTTTCTCACCCACCGGTTCTCAGCCACCTTCTCTCGGTTGTAGCGTCGGTGGAAGTCCCGCAGCTCCTCCAGCAGTCCTGCAGCTAACATGTCATCCACCCGCTTCTCCAGCCGCTGGTCCAGAGCTGGGAGGAGGAGAGCAGGACACGCTCAGCCACTGGGAGCCACTGGGAGCCCTCGGGAGGCCCACGGCTGCACAACGTGCCAGGACACGGCTCAGCACTGCCAGGCTCCCAACCCACTCGAGGGCAGAGCCCAGCGGGCGAGGGGAGCGAGTCCTCTGCCGCGCCCACTGGTGCCGAAGGAATTGCTGCCTTGTTCAGGGAGGAGGCTGGGGCAGGAGCAGGGAGCCAGCCCTAATCCTGCATCCCCTCAGCCAGCCAGCCGGGAGCCCCCTCTCACCTGCCTGGTCTGCATGGAGCCACAAGATGCAGGAATGTGGGTATTTCAGGGGCCCACCTAAGGGCCCCCCACCTTCCTCCTCCTGCTGCTGGTGCAAGATTTCACTATGGGGGATCCCCGTCTCTTCAAACACTTGGAGGCTCCTGTAAGCCAAGACAGACAGAGCTCAGAGGCTGGGTGAGGATGAGCTTTTCCATTTCCCCAGCAGCCCCGGGGGCTCCAGCAAAGAGAACCGCAGACATTCGCTACAATCCAACCCTCTCATGTGGGGGGAGGGCAGGTTTCTGCCTCCTCCCGTGCCCAGCATCCCGAGCACACCCAGGTCCTGGGGGTGCAGCGCAGAGCAGAGCACAGCAATGGTACCCAAGGAGCCCAGAGCACAGCCACCCACTCCTGCCTGGCACTGCGACAAGCCCTGCAGGGAAGGGAACAGGGTTCTGGCTCCAGCCCTGCCCTTTCCAGCCAGGCAGAGCTGCAGGGAAGGGGCCAGCGTTGCTGATGCTGCGAAGCACCAGCTCAGCCCAGCCCAACCAGGGAAGCGGAGGAAGCTGCGCAGGGTGCCCAACCCTCCGTCCCCCTGCACCGTGCGAATGGGGTGGGTGGTGTTCTGCTCCCCCAGGGCCAGGGCTCGGCTGGGATGGGCCCGCCAAAGCAGCAAGCCTGGTCTTGCTGCAGTGCTGTTCCCACAGAGCTCAGGTATGTTACTCAGCCAGCACAGCAGCTTGCTCTTTAAATAGCTCCAGATAAACCCTGCTGCTGGGGCACCGCAGCGGGAGCAGCCCCAGTGCACACAAGCCAGGAGCAGCGTGCTGTCCTGGAGCCCAAAGGCAGTTCAAACTGGGGGCTGCGTGGCCAAAGGTCTCAGATCCCAGAGAGCTCCCCAACACCAGCGCTCCAAGGTCCCCAAGCACCTCGCTAAGTGGTGGGACACAACACCCATCCTGCCGTGCTCCCAGGTACACAATTCCCTCAGAAAGGGGTGCTGGGCCCTGGCACCTGCTGCCCCCAGCAAGCCAAGCTCACCTGGCCAATTTGCGCTTGTCGTGGGGGTGCAGCTTGGCCGCCATCTCAGGGTCCACCTGGCTCAGGCGGCGATGGAGCTCAACACCGTCCAGCTGCTCCAGCTCCACTTTTCTGTCAGCGACCAGCCCGGGGGCTGTGCTGGCCTTCTCCTGTGGGGCACGAGACAGCCCTGAATCAAGCCACTCACCCACATGCAAGGCCAGCACAAGCAAGAAGATCCCCCAGACCCACGCGGTGAATAAGGGGCTTTTGGTTCTCCTCGCCTCCCTCTAGCAGGGGGGCACCATGCCTGGTGGCAAGAAGCCTGTCCTGAACACGGGGCTCACACTCCTGGAGGGATATGCAGCCCCACAACAGTACCTTGGTGTTGATAAGGACCTTCCAGAGCAGGGACTCGATGTAGTAGTTGGTTCCTCCCACAACAATCGGGATCTTGTCTCGGGCAAAGATATCTTCTATGTGCCACAGTTAGGGAGTGTAAGCAGAGATGCACGGCAGGGAGGGAGGGCTGTGGGAAGCAGCAGCCTGGGGCCCACACCCCACTCTCCCAGCCCCAAGGACCCAGTGAGGCTGCAGGACAGGGTTAAAGCTGTCCCTCAACTCCCACTCTCCTCTGCTGCCTGTGCCAGCTACCACCAAAACTCAGGGACACCCAGGGACTGCCAGGGAGGGCAATACCCAGCTCAGCACTGCTGGGGTGCAGTAGAAATCTTCCCCAACCAGCCCTGAGGAGGGGCTGGGTAAAAGAAGCTCCAAGCCCCCCTCACCAGCAGCATCCTCTGAAAACTGGAGTCAGCTGCAACGTGGAAAGCCCAAGGCTGATGCAAACACTGATCTCTCTTGCAGGCCTGGCTGTGGACGGGGGAAGTCCATATCTGCTTGGCCAGGCAGGCTGCAAGTGTGAAAGGATATCAGAGCCATGGCTTTGTCTCTGAAATCCACCACCGTGTAGTTCGAGACGAGGGGATCCACAAAGCTGATCATGTGGTGTCTGCACAGACGCTGCTCCTGGGGAGAAACCTTGTTGGTGATGATGTCCAAGCCCTTGTAAACCTGGGGAAGAGGAGAGCCTGTGATTCACCTCTGCGTCCCGTGAAACCCTCACTGCCCGCTGCTCCTTCCCCCACGCACAGCCACTGCCTGTCCCAGTCACCCCTCCAAGCCCCTGGCCGGTCTCTGGAGAAGGGAGCAGCACAGGCAGGGGCACATGTCCTGTTCAGGCGAGGCAGCAGGAATCTCACCAACGCCTGCTCCTGCCAGGGCCAAACTGCCTCTCTCTGGTGTTTGTTCCTGCCCACAGGAGATGAACCGTGAGTCCAACCGCTCACAACTGCTTTCCTGCTCTGATCTAACCCTGCAGTTAGGGGTGGAAAAGCTGATCGAGAGATCAGAGCAGGGTGTCAGAGCCCGGTCAGCGTAACCAGCCAAGCCCAGCTCTGAAGCACAGAGCTCCGAAACAATAAGGGCAGCTGCCTCCAAGCTGCCATCTCCTCATCTGCTGCTGTTGCAGCTAAAAGCTCAGGTGTGCCTCTCTCTGAACACACGACTCCATCACAGCACCAAGTCTCGTTTGGGGACAAGGATCACCGCTTCCCGTAACCACACAAAGATCTCTCTGGATACAACATGCAACTTCATCGAGCCTCTCAAACACACACAAACGGTCTCAGCTCACACCTTAAAAGCCTGGCATGCTGCCTGCTCTCACTGAGCCAGCCCGATACAGAGGGGAGCAAAACACATCGATGCAGGTCAGTGACCCCCAGGGAAAAGAGGCACTGTCCTGCACCAAGGTGCCAGGAGACACTGGTGAGCACAACCAGCAGCACCTCGCTGCTTCGAGGTGCATCTTCAATCCTGAGTTTGGGATATTCACCCCGGGAGAGCACTGCCAAAAGATGCTGACACTCAGTTAGAGAACACAGCAGAAAGAAAAGCCACCCAAACCAACTTCTTGGGAGCATTCTTGGGAAACAGCCAAGGCAACCTGCAATCCCAGCAGCCCGCATCCGAGCCACAGCCCAAATCCCCCCTCCAGGCTGCATAAAGCACCGGCCACAGCCCAGCCCACAGACCCAGGGGTGCATCCCATCCCCACAGCTCGGCTGGGTCCCGTGAGCAGAGCCCTTCCCAATGAGAGCATCTTTCACCCAGCAGAAGGCAGGAAGGTTTCTTGCTCTGCTCCCCACAGCATGCAGACACAACCCTCCTCAGCGTGGGGTGCCCCTGTGCCCCAGCACTGCCCTGGGCACACCTGTCTGTGGGTGCTGCAAGGCTCTGCAGAGCTGCAGGCAAACAGGGATCAGAGCAGGGACCCGCACCCCGAGGATGCTGGCAGCAGGCACGTGGTCACAGTGGGCACATAAAGCCCTTCTGTCCAGCCCAGCTCTGCGCCGTGCCAAGGACCGAGCGCCCTCCGTGCCAGGCGGTGGCTAAGGCTCCGCTTCGTGCTGCAGTCGCAGGGAGGACATGTTCAGCTCTCAGCACCTTCCTGCACGGAGCAGTTTCCCAGCTTGGGATAAACTAAGCTGATGGGAGAAGGGACTGGAAATGGCTGTACTCATTTTCTCCTCCATCAACCAGAAACCACCCCAGCCAGAGAGCCAGACTTCCAGAAACAAATTTCCCTCTAATCCCCTCCGAGAAGCTGCCAAGTCACTGGCTGCAGTGCAGCCTCCACCCATTGCCACCCCTTGTCCCAGACAGAAGGACAAGGTGACACAGAGGTGACCCACGGGCAAAAGGCACGGAGTGGCAGCAAGGGACGATCCGAGGTTAGTGGAGCAGGGAAGCCCGATCCCTGCCTGGAGCAGTCATGCGAGCTGCTGGGGCGGCTGAACCGGCTGCAGCCCGCCAGACACTCCCCATCTTGCTTAACTCTTGCTCTTGCTGCTTGGAGGACCAGGACCAGCTCCTGCTCCTGGTCCCTCGGCAGAGAAAGGCTCGCCTGGGGGCAGGAAGTGATGGGGGAGCAGGAGGGCAACCAAATGTTCTTCCTTTCTGCCCTGCAGAAACCCAGCTGGCTCCAGGGGATGGCGAGCAGGCAGGAGGAGAGGCCGCGGAGGCAGATCTCTGCCAACGTGCCCTGTGGCTGGCTGCAGCCTATCAATCCCCTTTCACTCCCCAGCCTGGGGACCCAAAGCCTTTGAATTCCGTGAGTTTTGGCTCAGTGCCTTCTCTCCCCCAGCAAGGGCCAGTCCAGCCCTCCAGCTCCTCTGACTCCCACTTGTCTGCCTGAAATCACAGTCCATAGAGAGGGCTGACCGGGAGGCTCGGAGGCAGCCAGGAGCTCCCAGTGCCCTGCACGGACAGAGCCAGGATTTACAGTTCAGGCTCCAATCCCCCAAGGTTCTCTCGGAGATTAAACACCGAGAGCCTCCCCGAATATCTGGCAACAAGAGGAGGAATGCGGTGTCAGTGTGTGGGCTGGGAGGAAACAAAGGCGGCCTTTTACACACACCCAGCAAAGCCCAGAGAAGGTTTCCACCAGCTGGCTGTCGGCAGGGCCTCGCACCGAGACGTCCTCCCGACACTCATTTCTATTTTCAGCAAGCGGCTCAGATAAGCCTTTGTTGCTTTCTAAGGCCCCAAAACAGATTAGCGACAGCCTGGAGCAGCAGGCCTCTGAGACACCAAATACAAGCCAGGGACTAAAGATGCTTAGCCTTGAAGGCATCCTCCCACCTCTGCTGCTGAAACCCCCGGGCAGGTCAGCCCCACCGCTCACAGCGCTTTGCCCGCAGGCCAGTGCCATCTCCCCTTTTAAAGGGTGGGGAAACTGAGGCAGGAGACAAACCCAGCAGCAATCCTCAGGGCACGGTGCCTGTGAGAATCCTCAGCCCGCAGCCCAGGAAGGGTGGGCTCTCCCAAACCCTCCCTTTGCCACCAGCTTCGTGCACAATCCCAAATTCTGTCTCTTTGTCACCATCTTCACTGGAGGGGGACAGGCACTGTCCTTGCCGTGAATGCAGGGAGCACAGTAGAGAAGGTGACACAATGGCTGTGAAGCACAGGGACCCCAGACACATCCAAGCCACCTACAGCCAGGAAGAGAGTGAAGATTTCACAGGGGCCATAGGATCTCCCAGCTGGAGAGTGGCATGGAGGACCCAAACCATGCCAGGGTGCAAGGAGAGCACAATTCACTCCCTGCTCTGATCCCTGCCACGAGAAGGGTGTCAGCAAAGGCTCTGAAGATGTCCTGACATGCACACTAACTGGCAAATGTACCCAGTGTGCTACAACATCCTCTGGACACGGGCTGCGTCGCCAGTCCAAGGTGTGAAATCCAGAAGGGACAGTGGGATCGGGAGCAGATGGGACCCTGGCACCGGGATCCTTGCGCACTCACTGCTCAGCCAGGACTGAAGCAGCAGGACTGACTTCACCCTGCCTAACTTCCCCAGGGAACGACTTACTCCTAAAGGAAACTCACTGGGATGACAAACGGCAACAGAAAGGACAAAAAGAAAGATTAAGAGGCCATCGGATTAACCAGAGCTCCTGAGCTGCACGCAGGCAGCAGCTAAATCTGTAATTTGACCACAGAGACTCAAGGCGGTGACGAAAACACCCTGGAGATAGAGGGGTGCCTGTGTGCGGGAACAGGTGGGCTCGGGGCTCCCCGGCCCCTTCCCCAGCCTGGCTCCAGCTCCAGCAGCTGCCCAAAACACTGCCAGCATTTGTCAGAGCTCCGCCGAGCCCGCACGATGAATGGACAGAGGGGGCTGAGGGCGACACGGTCGCTGGCAGCTGTCAGTCGAGAATGAGCAATGGGATTTTTAAAACCCGTCGACTCTTCCGCAAGGACACCGGAGCCAGCTCTGCATGGCAAGAGGGATATGCAGCGGGGAGACGATATTCCACGGGAACAAAGCCAGCGAGAAAGCAGACCCAGTTGGCTGGCTGAGGCCGCCTAAGCAGGGCACGGGGGTTAGTGGAGCGCGGTGGGGGAGGCGCAGACGCACGCTGCTGCGGGCTGTGCCGTCAGGCAGCCGGGGCCGCGGAGAGGCAGGGCTCCCGTGCCCAAAGCATGCTGCGCCACGGGATAAAGCTGCGAAGCTGCTCGGCTCTTGCTGCACAGTCACGCTAGAATGAGATTAAAAGGAAAGGAGGACAAGAGCCACTCGAGCCCAGATGCCATTGGGCGCCTGCAGACAGAGTCCTCCCAGCGCCTGCATTCCCATAGTGGGACCTGAAAGAACCAGAGCACAAAATACACGCTTCAAAACATCCACCAGCGTGAAATGAGAATTCGCAGTATGTCAGGCGGCTCCAGCCACGGCGGCAGAGCTGGGGCTGCAGCAGGAGCCTCGTGTTTGCAGATTCACTCAAGTCAACAGCTGCTTCCCTGATATTAAAGCCTGCTGTAGGCTGGACTGGTGGTCACCGTAAGGTCTGAGAACCTCAGCATTCACAGTACACAAACAGGCACGAACAACCAAACAAAAGCTCTAGGGCTTGTCCGGATCAGGACAGTCAGTACCAGTAAAACCTCAGCAGCTGACCTCTGCTTAGGGACGTTTCTGATGTGGACACTAGAGCAGAGTAACTCGCCTTGGAAACTTAACAGCAGCTGCCTAAAAGCTGCCCCAGCCCAGACTGGGCTCAGGCAGTCCCACCCTGGGCTCAAGGAGACCAAGCTGGACGTGCCAGTCCTTCATTAGGGAACACGCATCAAGGGCTCGCAGCACCAGCAGTGCCCGGTGGTTCACAATGGCTGGGCCAGGCAGCTGCCCACAATCGGGCAGCTGCCCACAACCAGGCAGCGCTGGACAAAAAGCTCATGCATCTTGCACAAACATTTTACCCCTGCAGGATTTTGTCAGTTCAGCTCAGACCTCAAACACTCTTTCCCCAAGAGCTGAAGGAAAACGTTACATAAAATTAAAGCTTTCCGACTGCTTGCTCCAAATTCAGGCGAGGGAGTTTTTAAATTTCTCTCTCTAGGATACAAACAGGCACCAGTTATCAGCAGCCCAGTGCAAGAAACCAGGAGGTTGCCCACAGGACAGCAAGAGTCGATCTCTGAGCAGCACAAAGGGCAAAGGGTGTTGGCAGAAAACACCCTTTTAAAAAGCACAATAAATAT